TTACCAAAAGTATCGGTGGTTAGGGCGTGGGTCTTAGTGCATGAGGCCAGTTTAACGCCGGTGAGCACAATTGATTCGGTTCAAACCTCAGGTGTCGCATGCACGGAGAAAGGCACTGTCTCGGTTCAAACCTAAGGCTTCGTAAGCACGGATTAAGGCATTGGTTCTGTTCAAGCCTAAGGCTTTGCATGCACAGTGAAAAGCGAGAACATGTTTGGTCAGCTCTGTATCATAATCACAACTGTACTATTCCACGCCGTGCTTGGCAACGCTAGTGTTGGAGAAAGAGCTCTTACAGGGCTTAATCCATCCAGAAAATCCCTCTCCATTGCTTTGCTATCAGTTGTACACACCTTGTCTGTTACAAAATGTGTTACCTTGGGTTGAAACTTGTTATGCTGTTTCATATCACAGTTTTTTTTGCTGTCTATAACTGCAGCGTCTTAACTGAAATTTTGTGTTTTTAAGATAATGCCTAAAATTCAGATTTCCGGCATTAACAATACACGCTTAAGAAATACTTACTCCTCAATCCAAAACCACCAACCAAAAATCGAAAACTGTATAACCTGTTTCGTTGCATGGGTTAAGTAGACGACGGGTCACTATCCAAGTAACGAGCCGTGCTTAGCGATATTGGTTGATTGTTTGTATTGTAATAATCATGTATATATATATATATATATATATATATATATATATATATATACATAATGTCGGATTTCGGGCCTGCGACTATTTCGTTTTATGACAAACTTGTTTAGTGTTTAGCACAACTCTAATTTCAGTACCGCCCATGGAACATATTGCGACCTTTCAAAGTAGCATCTGGGCAGCTACGTATCGCAACTGTCCCTACCATTTGTCCTCTAATCCGTTATGAACACATTCACGCATGGTGCATTTAGTGCTCTGTATCTTAACGGAGCATGCGGCGACAGTACCTTATTGCAGCGGTGGCTAACCGATCGTTGGAGCAACACTATTCGATCCTTGGAACTGTCGCGTGTCCGGCACAGAAGAGGCCGAGTGTCCGGCACAGGAGGGACCGCGTGTCCGAGACAGGAGCGGCCGTCGGGCACATGGGAGGCCGTGTGTCCGGCACAGGAGAGGCCGCGAGTCCGGCACAGGAGGGGCCGCGTGTCCGAGACAAGAGCGGCCGTCCGGCTCAGGAGGAGCCGCGTGTCCGAGCTAGGGGCGGCTGTCCGGCGCAGGAGAAGCCGCAGGTCAGACGCAGGGCTGGGAGGCGTTCGCACCGGGCTGCGCATCGTTTAACCGTCACCCCGATTAGTCGTTTCACATAGCGCGGACGGAGACTGATGGGAGGGGGTTCATGCGATCCATCTGGAGTTTCCAAACTAAGAAAGATGGGGCATCACAACGAAAAACGAGCCGATGGAAGGGCTTCAGAAATATCTCGTGATTAGCAATTCGTTGTATGTTACTTGGTCAACAACTGATCGTAATGGACCCCATGAAAGGTCAAATTGTCCTGAAAATCTAAATTGTGACTAGGCATGGCTTCGTGCATGAGAACAGAACTGAAGTGCAGCGTGCAGCGACACAGAACTGAAGCAGGCATGTTTCTTTACCTATTTATGATGCAAGGATCCCTTAATGTAACAGTGTCGGCACCTGGCGCCTGGACGCGGAATCCCCGATTATCGCCCGTGGCTTGCGCCGGCCGTGGATCGCCGTGCAGCGTTCCTAAAAGGCGACCGCTTCCCTGTAACCAAAGCTGCTAGGGGCACGTTTTGATGTCAAGACAAGTCTTAGGGATGCCCCAGAGGATTCCAAAAGTTTGGATGTGATTGCGTGACATGCCGGGGAGGTGTCCTCCGAAAACCTTAGGGGCGGCGTCTACTAAGCTGGTTGTTCTTTGGAAGCGCTGGGGGTTGCATACAGCCTGCCGGTCTCAGACCTAAAGCGCATCCATGAGACCCGCCTCATCGCGGACCCAAAATCACGTCATCAGCTGCTGCAGACGAGCTATCCGGCCAGATCCTTATCCGTTCTGCTAAAGTGCAGAGGCTGGTGTGTGCCTTATACGACAGATTGGCGAGCTGACTCTGCACTGGGTAGTGGGTTGTGCCAGTTTAATCATGGGAACGAAGCTGCTGACTGCCTGGCCAATGAAGTGACGATTTGGGACCAGGCCACCAGTCACGTCGACCTGACCAGGGCGGAGTTGGTAACTGCTGTAACACTGTTGATCTGGCCCATGCCAGAGTCGTGGTGACCCGCACTCAAATGCCGCACTCGAGACCTGAGTTTGACGCACTGGGATTCATCACCGTCTCTCGACAGTGGATTAATACATTTTATGCGGACTTTATGACTTTATGATCTTGTGAAGACGACCCTTTCATTATCTGAGAAACCTAGAGTTGATTGCGTCATATGATTATCTGGTGAAATAGGCCGATAATCATCTCGGAAACCTATTATTAGGACTGCAAGCCTTTGTACTGAATCCCGATGGGGACTACCCTCGCACCAAACAAGAGCTTCTTTAATGCAGATATCGCAAGCCCTTGATATGTGTGCCACTCACCAACAATCTAAGCCTGGAATTAGCTCAGCGGAGGATCATGTCCATGAGGCTTACTGACCTTTTATGAAGATATCTTGTGACATATTAATCCATCATGTGGCAGTGGAGTGACAATCATCCTACAAAACAAGAGCTTAACCCTCTCGCTAACCTGGAGATTGGCTCCGTCTGAAGTTTTCTGAGGACACCTCTACGGCATGTCCTGCGATCCCGCCCAATTTTTGGCAGCCTCTGAGGCATCCATTGCGTGTGTTTTGACACAAAAAAACAGAGGACCGAAGACCTGTCCCCAACCAGACTTACGTTCGGCTGGAGCTGAATTGTTCAACTGCGCATGCGCCAATCATTTCGGGGTGAGCAGCGAGCTGAGTGGGCTCTTTAGAAAAAAATGTCGCTTTGAGCGATGAGTTGAACCATATTTGTCGTAAATTACATGAGCTTTATCGGAACCCAGTCATTTCTAACAAGGTCGTATCAGTGAGCCATATGGCTCAAATTAGAATGGAAACAAGAGAAAACACGGCTCTCCTCAGACAAATTAACAGACCATTTCAGAGTGTTAAAATAAACAGCATGCAACATACCTCATGCAGCTATTTGCAACATCACCACAAAGTTTGCTATTGTAATGCCTAACCAGCAAGCGCAATATTGCTGATTCCGGTCTTTGCTTTGCCAAATCCCAGGCAGGAAACAAAGGATGTCACATGGCACAACCGTTATTCATTCCTATGCCGTATGCTAAAATCAGCGAAATATTGTTTAGTACCTATAATCATAGGTGTCAGGTAGAATGTACTAGCCTAGTGCTGAGACTTGAGGGAGCTGGTTGGTAGCAAGTTACAAGAAAGGTGACGTTGGCCGCACTGGATCTGCTAGGTTTGCCACCATCAGTCATCAACCATCATTAAATGACACACTCGCTTGTGGGCTATTTGAATATATTTTGCATGCTGCGGTATAGTACATTTATGCACATTTGTGAATGAATCATGTGGCTCATCCGAAAAAAAAATGGTGCGGCTGTGAGTCATGGGCTGCACTGGATCCCAAAATTTGTGAAGGGGCCCTGAGCGGGTCCCAAAAATTTGTGGCGAACGCAGGCCTTTTCCTAGCATTCCTGGTTTCTAGGAAGCGATATTTCTTTAGAAACACTACACGGTGGTCAACAGACGGCGTGGGTGGCGGGCCAACAGCGTGACATTAAAGGATACTTACATGAGGAAAACGTATGCTGAAAACACATTAAACTGTGCAACATTGCCATTAGCATTAAACAAATAACACTCAAGTGGAGGTCAATCTACTATTATTTTTCGTGAGCCTCTATCTTCCTTAATTTCGAAACGCCATGAGGAGAGGGTCGCATCGATTCCTCCCCCTCCCCCCCCCCCCCACCATCAGTCATCAACCATCACTAAATGATGGTTGAGACTAATTTGATACAATTATCAGATGAAGCCACACTTAAAATAATTAACTTACATGGCTATGGTTTCCTATTCAATTGGGGGGGGGGGGGGATTGTCCATGAGCAAACTATGCACAGCAAACGACCACCGCTTAAAGTATTGCAAACATCTCGAACGGACTTTTATATCCGCTTTGTCGAACTGCTACCTTGACCTTGGGACATTCTCGAGGTCACTGTGTCTTCCGCTCCACTCGACTCCAGGGCTGGAACGACCACTAGAGAACGCACAGAACAGCACAGCGGAGACGCTGACTGGGCCGCCGTCGGCCAGTCACCACGAGCATCACGATGGAAGCGGGGTCACGTCCTCGCAAGCTAGCTGCAGGCCACCGTTCGATGTGAAAAACAGCGAGATTATTCAATGTCCAGTTCTATACGCGTTGGGCGTGGAAAAAGAAGTGGAAACATAGACATAAAAACGTATGCCGCGCACCTTGCACCATCCTCACATACGTTGCCCCTTAAGACGTGATACATGTTTATCGGCTACGAAGACCTTGAGCTTGGAATGTTTGTTTTAGCGTCTCTGCTACCGTGTATTGTACGCATAAGTACTTCATTCATCCTTGTTCCTGCCTGAGTCAGACTTGGGCTGTTGAAGTGTTTGCTTGAGTGAAATGAACGTGCACAGAACGATCCCAAGCTGACGATACATCTCAGGCTCCAGAAATAGGCAGCATTCCGAGATAAGTATCCCGGACCGATGTAAAGAGCTCGCGTGAATTAGACACATCGAGATAGTCATCAGGCCCAATAACGCTTCGCTCCACCGATTTTTCCCATTGTCTGTTACTTGGGCCGACACAAGAAAGAGTTCGGCGCCGCTTAGCGGTCTATCACCTAGGAAATAGCAGCAAGAGGCGGTAATGGATAGATAAAGAGGGCTGATGGTAGACAGGAGTCAATGATTCTCATGAGGAAGCTCCAACACACGGCGCTACGCATGCGACCGACCTGCTTCAGGTGACTTACCGATCAGATCCTGTGGCAGCGACTTCTGCACAGCCTCCAGCACCTGGATCTGTCCCTCCAGCGACGTCAGAACCGAGTCCAAGTGGGAGACCTGGGAGTACAAGGACTCCAGCAGTTCTGGTCTGGAGAGACAACACAGCCACGTTAATACTGAGTTTATGTGAAAACTCTGGGAGTACAAAGACCTTAGCGGTGCATGCCTGATAAGACACACAGTGACACATGTACCAGGTTTTACTGGGAGGCCTGAGAGCCTGACCGTTTGGGTCCAGGGCTGTGTGTTTGTGTGTGTGTGGCGGGGGGGGGGGGGGGTCCGAAAATACTTGAAAAATGAGAACATGATTTGGCTGCCCATTCGGACTAGAGCCCTTTCGAACAGAAATGATAATTTCAGGGCTATGGGATGAAGGATAATCGATAGCGGTGGGGAGGAACTAACCACGCCCGGGAAGCCAACCACCGAGCCTTAGCTGCGCGGGGACGCCTTTGCGGGTATGCGCCGGGCAATCGCGAGGATATAGATGAGCAATAGAAAAGGAGAGAGAGAGAGAGAGGGAGAGAGAGAGAGAGAGAGAGAGAGAGAGAGAGAGAGGAGAGAGAGAGAGAGAGAGAGAGAGAGAGAGAGAGAGAGAGAGAGAGAGAGAGAGAGAGAGAGAGAGAGAGAGAGAGAGAGAGAGAGAGAGAGAGAGAGAGAGAGAGAGAGAGAGAGAGAGAGAGAGAGAGAGAGAGGAGAGAGAGAGAGAGAGAGAGAGAGAGAGAGAGAGAGAGAGAGAGAGAGAGAGAGAAGAGAGAGAGAGAGAGAGAGAGAGAGAGAGAGAGAGAGAGAGAGAGAGAGAGGAGAGAGAGAGAGAGAGAAGAGAGAGAGAGAGAGAGAGAGAGGAGAGAGAGAGAGAGAGAGAGAGAGAGAGAGAGAGAGAGAGAGAGAGAGAGAGAGAGAGAGAGAGAGAGAGAGAGGAGAGAGAGGAGAGAGAGAGAGAGAGAGAAGAGAGAGAGAGAGAGAGAGAGAGAGAGAGAGGAGAGAGAGAGAGAGAGAGAGAGAGAGAGAGAGAGAGAGAGAGAGAGAAGAGAGAGAGAGAGAGAGAGAGAGAGAGAGAGAGAGAGAGAGAGAGAGGAGAGAGGAAGAGAGAGAGAGAGAGAGAGAGAGGAGAGAGAGAGAGAGAGAGAGAGAGAGAGAGAGAGAGAGAGAGAGAGAGAGAGAGAGAGAGAGAGAGAGAGAGAGAAGGGGGTCGGAAAAGTTAACATATCTTTATTTGTGGCATATAAACAAGGCGTTTTTAACTAACCGTGGCATCATATTTAACAAATGGTGAGCAGTGAGCATTTATGCATGCGTGCATCAAAAAGGCTCTTTAGCCCCTGCCCTAACCTTAAGACGTCTATGATAGTTCAGAGTTGTAAACGTAACTTGTGGAATTATTCCAGATCAATGCAACCGTTTTGACCATCAGCGCCTCCGTCTCTCACGCACACTGTAGTGGGATACAGATGCTGTGGAGAGCTTACGCCACGGGGCCTTTGGCGGAAACAGCACGCCATTGGAAAGCTTCGGTAAAAGGAAGTGCTTTTGACGCTTGAATTCCTAATCAATGTGTATTTGAGAACGCTTTGGACTTGTTCTCCAACGTGTGTCGATCTCCGCCTTGCCAAATAATTGCAAAATTTGAAACGTGGCACAAAATGTAGCCATTTCTGCAGACATTACAACGCACGGGCGATGGAACAGTCGCCGGATCCCAATAACCCGAGTAATCCTCGCGTGATCTGTTATCCCGCGTGCAAGCGACAAATACACGGCACCGTACCCGGGGTCACTCGTGCCACTGGAGGCCGCGCAGAGGGATTCAAAGAGGCGTGTGGAGTGCGATTGGGTGAGCACATGGCATTGTAGATGTTTATTCTCAACGTCCGACATGTCAAAGCAGTCAGGGATGGCGCATTTGGAGCGCTGGCGCCGCGAGGACTCCGGTGACGGGCTCCACCGACTGGGTTCACCGCCCCACTCCCTGCTGGGGCTCCACCGAAGGGGCTCCGCTGACGGGGCTCCACAAACGTGGCTCCGCTGACGGAGCTCCCCTGATGGGGCCCCGCTGACGGGGCTCCACTGACGGGGCTTCGCTGACGGAGCTCCACCAACGGGGCTCCGCTGACGGGGCTCCACCAACGGAGCTCCGCTGACGGAGCTCCACTGATAGGGCTCCGCCGATGAGGCTCCGCTGACGGAACTCAGCTGACGAGGCTCCGCCGACGGGGGTTCACCGACGGGGCTCCGTTGATGGAGTTCCACCAACGGGGCGCTGCTGACGGGGCTCCGTTGATGGAGCTCCACCAACGGGGCGCCGCTGACGGGGCTCCGCTGATGGGGCCCCGCTGACGGGGGTTCACCAACGGGGCTCCGTTGATGGAGCTCCACCAACGGGGCGCCGCTGACGGGGCTCCGTTGATGGAGCTCCACCAACGGGGCGCCGCTGACGGGGCTCCGTTGATGGGGCTCCTCTGATGGGGCTCCGTTGACGAGGCTCAATCGACAGGGCCGAAGTTGGAACTAACGGGGAGGGAAAAGTGCCTGCTCCCAAGATATTTCGTGACAAAATTGGGCTAAAGGGAGAACCAAAGTGTCCTTAGGTAGTTAATGCAAATCTGAGCAACTTTTGACCATGTGACATCTTTGTTGGAAGATATAGGCAACTTAACGTCGGACCATCAATCACTTTTCTTCTAATTTGTATGCAATGAATCCACGAATCGCCTCTGTAGGCTCAATATGTCTGCAGTCGAACGATCTCGTAGCTTTGTTCGATCACTTAGCTTTGTTCAACCCAGTATTCTATGATGCTGACCTTTTAAATTAATTTATTTCGAATGTTTTTTATGGGTTGCTTTGGGTCCAGAGTACCTGCGAAGCATAGCTTGTTGCGTGTACCCTCAACTCACAATCGAAGTTGTACCGTTTAATCCAACATAATTTTGCCTTCGTCGTTTCGCCAGACAGGAATGCGGAGGATTTTTAGGGCCGCGCAGTGTTGCAACATGGCCATTCCGGGCCTTGGTTGACCTTTGTTGCTCAGTTGTTAGCAGACCTTTGCAATTCAGTCAGGTCAAACAGTGCCCACGTTCTGGGACTCGTACCCAGTGCCGCTGGATTACAAACTCAGCATCTTGCCCCCAGACCAGGGAGACGTATAGCATTTTCCCCTAGTCGAAAGATACATATTTGGGCCAGTTGTCCAGCCAGCTGCATTTGAATGTCAGTTTATCTCAGTGGTCAGTGCAAGTGGTGACCTGTGATGGCAAAACGTTACATGCCAATGAGAAAGCAACACCTTCGTGTATGGTACTTGCTTGAAACTTATCTTAGTCACCGACCTGACATAACACGGGCCCCACAATTTCTGAATGCCTTCGAAATTGATGATGCTTAATGTATAAAAGCATGAGGCGTCATAATAGCATCTTATAAAGGTCATAATAGCATCATCATAAAAGCATCTTAATGTATAAAAGCTCCCTAATCGTTCTGCAGCTATTCCGAAAATGTCAGTCGGTGGGTTGCTGCCCCTCCCTCATGAGACAGATTGCTTGAGTGTGACCACTGGTTAGTGCTTTCTTTGGAGCGTCCTGCGTAATAATGACGGTCGTGTATCATTGCTTATATATAGTGTCATTATTAGCATCGCAAATGACGGAGCACCAGGAGCCTCAGGTCTTCCTCGCATCAAGCATGAATAATTCGCGTGTTTTAGGAGATAGAGCAATGGGGAAGAAGCAATCCATGTTTGTTTTGATTTCTAAACGCAACCCATTTATATCACTCTCGACATGATCACCTAAAGCAGGTACTTACGATCTTGTCTTTTTAAGCTTCTGTGCTGCAGACCTTTTATAGATACTTCTGACGTCCATGATGCGGTTGCTTGTGTTTCAAAATGTAGCGTGCGGCCCGACACCGGCATGCTGCTCGCCGACTTCGATTTGAGAACCTCTCAATTTCCGTGTCCACTCACTCCACAGCCGACGATCGCTGAGCACAGTGGGGGTGTGCCCTAAGTTCTGATACGGTCACATCCACACAGCAAGTCACTGTCGCCTCCCGAGGCCTGGCGGGGCGACCGTGTCCCCTCTGTCGGCGACCCTCAGCATCGCCGCGTCGCTGCCTGCCAGCACCTCTGTTTGCGGAGAGTCGCGAACCTGAACGCGCCTGCGCGACGAATGAGCGTCGGCAGCTTGACCACTACAAGAGCACACTTTCCCTGAGGTCACGGTCTGGTAGGTCAGTGGGTGTAATCACGCTCCTGCTCATTCTCACGAGAGAATACCAAGTCAGAGTTTCTCACGGAATCCGAGCGGAAGGTGATGAGCTTTTAAGAGAACAAAGGAAGTGATTATTGCTTGAGGATGTGGAGCCCAGCACAGGCGTCCAGCAAATACACAGAGGTTTTTAAAACTTTTGGAACAATGGAAGGGAATAGGCGCAATCGACATGGCTATTTTGTTTCTTTTCAAGCGGAAGAAACGCATTCGCGGTGATTGAATGCAGACATCCGCATGCAGTCAACCGGCAAACAGCTGATGTCTTATCATACGAACGATTTATTTTTGTATGTTTGAGTAACTTTATAGCATTTGAACGATGGTCTTCTGGATGAATACACGATAGATACACAAACTCTTACCCAGGAGTTCAAGTCAAAACTCATCAAGGTATACTCGCGGGACAGCCGGCTCCGGGTGCAAGCTGTGAGATGGAGCTCCCAGTGGTGAAATAAGCTTTGAACAGCGGGAGAAGAGTAAAGCAGTCCTTAAAGATAACTCCCTTGCAAACATTATGGATGCGATATATGGACTCAATGCAATTATTGAGCGACGTAATCGAGCTCGTAGTGCAACACATGCTGCACTACCTGTTCATTTCATTTTCGGTTATCACACAGTGTCTGTTTTCTTTTGGCGTTTCATCAAACCGACAAAAAGTGACACGCTTTATAACCAAGTGTACGAAGTTGTATTTACTCGACAACCCAACCGCAAAAAAGTTGACCATTGCTCTATTTCATAAAGCGTTGATGTGCCATAAGCCATTTTGTCTAGTAATACCGTTTCATCCAGTGTTTAGCGCGATAGCGCGCAAACCTGAGTATAGTTATAAATGATCCGGCATGCATATACACAGCATGGTCGTGCGGTCCTCGTGTGTTGAATATAAAACTGGAAAAATGTATTCCACTGAACGTGTTGTATAAAGAACATCAATCCCTTTCCGCCATTAGCATTATCCAGACTGGGGCAAACAACTACAACACACGCAACAGTGGATGATCTTCATTTTATCAAAGTACTCATTTACATGAATGTGACTAAGACACATTTTAAGCCGCTATATCATAAGCGCGGGGAGAGAGAATACCAATGGTGAGAGCCCACCTCTCGAAAATTTTTACTGACTAGCGCGCCATCTGTGGAGCGCTGCTGGACCGATCCAGAGTAACGTTGGCTGTAGATGGCGCCACCTTAGGATCCTTACCGTCCCGAGCCCAGTGGCATCATGAGTTAGCCGAAGGGCATTCAGCCCCACTGAACCAAGCTCACCGTAACGAGATTCCGTGGTGACTATTACCGACCAGCAAATTTAGTGCCGCGTCACCCACATCCTGCCGGGAGCGCTGGACGCTGATCAGCTGATCACGGTCGGTTCCCACGCGGGAGGCCCCCGTGACGGCGGCTCCCGCCGCCCCGCCGGCCACCCCGCTGCGTCCGGCGACACTGACCTACGACTGGACGCATCGCCACCCATCCGCGCGATGTTCCTGCGGACGAGCTGCCGTTCCAGTCGGTACCCGGCCATCTTGGTTTTCATGCTGTGCAGCCGGCCCCCGATATGGTCCGCAAAAGCCGTGTCCGCGGCGTCGAACAGGTGCACGCGGTGGCCAACCTGGCTGCCGCCGCTGCTGTGATCCTGCGCAACGGTCAAGGAACGATGAATTAAAGTTTGCAGCTGCGGTTTTGACACGTTTTTAAAGACATCAACAGCAGTCATAATACAAAGCAGATTCTTTAAAAAGCTGTGCAGGAGAAAGCGATTTTTCAGTTCATTGGAAATGGAGAATATCATCACGACATATAGCTTTTGCATGTGGTTCACAGCGCATGCAACCGTCACCAGCCAGTGTACGAGCCCTTTGTGTTAGTCTGTTAGTCATCTCTATTAGTAAGCTGAGTATGGTCGCTTTGCATTATTCGTTTCTAATCGCTCATGCACCTCTTTCCCAGGTACGTAGTCATTTTCTTCAGGGTAGGAACGGAATTCCAAATCTTTGTTTGAATTCCTAAGAATTGGGAACCGTTCCTGGAAAATCGCTCACTATAAAGCGCAAAACGCGTGGCTCACGGGGGTGGAACAGGGGCGAAGCCAGGGCGTTTTTAAGGGGGAGGGGGAGGGCGTCGCTCGATGAATACGCATCACGCCGGTATCGTACCTTTTTGTGAGAACTTATCTATGGTGAAAAGCAAAAGCCCTATCCCCTTGGATGCGTCCCTGACGGAAGGGCATGCCTCTCCTGGCCCCCTTGGCTGCGTCTGTCATTGTGTCACTTTTTCCAGATGTAAATGATACATAACTCCCTTCCATGAAATATCGCGTCGCGTGTTGTCCCAAACATCCTTCCGCACGGCCCGCTTTCGCCACTTAATCGTATCGGCACAACATTACGGCTTTCTAATGATGATATGTGCTCTGACTCCATCTGTTCAAGCCTGCACCACACATCACAGCCAGCTCTGGAGATGGTGCTGTCATGTGGTCTTGATTCGCCGAGCTTCACCCTCGGGCTGTGAAGCGCGCTTCAAGGAGCTCAGCCGGGAATGGCGGCAGGTCCGACCGCGCCAGTCTGCTGCTGAGCAGACCCGACCGCACCAGTCTGCAGCTGAGCGGGCCTGACCTCACCAGTCTGCAGCTGAGCAGGCCTGACCTCACCAGTCTGCAGCTGAGCAGACCCGACCGCGCCACTCTGCTGCTGAGCAGACCCGACCGCACCAGTCTGCAGCTGAGCAGGCCTGACCTCACCAGTCTGCAGCTGAGCAGGCCTGACCGCGCCAGTCTGCTGCTGAGCAGGCCTGACCTCACCAGTCTGCAGCTGAGCAGGCCTGACCTCACCAGTCTGCAGCTGAGCAGGCCTGACCTCACCAGTCTGCAGCTGAGCAGGCCTGACCGCGCCACTCTGCTGCTGAGCAGGCCTGACCTCACCAGTCTGCAGCTGAGCAGACCTGACCGCACCAGTCTGCAGCTGAGCAGACCCGACCTCGTCAGTCTGCAGCTGAGCAGACCCGACCTCGTCAGTCTGCAGCTGAGCAGACCCGACCGCGCCACTCTGCAGCCGAACAGACCCGACCGCACCAGTCTGCAGCTGAGCAGACCTGACCGCACCAGTCTGCAGCTGAGCAGACCCGACCGCGCCACTCTGCAGCCGAACAGACCCGACCGCACCAGTCTGCAGCTGAGCAGACCCGACCGCGCCAGTCTGCAGTTGAGCAGACCTGACCGCGCCAGTCTGCAGTTGAGCAGGCCTGCGCCTGGCGTCACGCCGACTGATAAGGAATCACGCTGGCTCGCCTGTAGCGGCGTTTGCAGCAGTGCGCCGTGTGTACAGAGACTCGTCAGTTGGCTGGCGATCGGCCACTGAAGTCTTCCTTTTTGCCTTTTGGCATTACCTCGTCGATCTTGACTGCTGGGGTTTTACAGCGCATCGATTGAAAGACCTTCAAACAATGATTTTTTGGCGGTTTGGCTTGATGCTTCATGACACTGTCATATTTGTGATCAGGGGAAAAACCGCTCTTCCAAGTTGGGAGGGACGATAGACATTTCCCGTCATTTCATTTCAGCCATAGCCCAGAGGGCTGTTTTTAGAAAGTTGGCGGAGTCGGACTCTTCTCTGCTCTCCCACCTTCTCTCCCAGTTCACTGCCCCTGTGAATGCTGTGCTGCAATAAGATAATTATGTGTACACCAGGCACCCACCGGGTGCGTATTGAAAACATAACCCACATAAATATTGCAGGGTAGATATGGAACAGCGAAAAATAAGAAAAAAAATCAAGAAATCTGGTTGAACATGGGCGGGGTGAAAACACATTACTCTACGCGTGTGAAATAAATTCAAAAGGCTAATTTTTTAACGAGAGGCCATTGGCAAACGGTTATTTCAGTGCAAGCCCAAACATTCTTTCCTCACTGGCCGCAGCGATGAGTTTAATTCACACCTCTTGTCTTAGTGATTTGCAGCTTGCAAAGCTAGTTGATTTGTCCTAGCTTCATGCGTTAATCTATTTCCTCTAAACGTGATTATTCATAGACCCTCGACATGCTTTCACACCTCCCTGTATTGGCTATAGCCATCGCTTGGTAGTCATCGACATGTTCAGGTTCCCGGCTAATGTCACGGAAGAGATCACCGTCACTGTCGAGTGGCGCCCCTTCTGGCCCCGCGGCAGGTGGCGAGAGGCGAGGGGACCCCAAGGACTCTGACGCCCCGGGGTGTGGCCGACTCCGGTGGACGCGTCAAGGCTAATGGTCCCTGATTTGCCGCTTGGGGAATGTCTCCCGCCGCCCGCCAACAGCTGGCGTGTGCGGCCACACGGCACGCCGCAAGTGCCTCGAGCGCGCCGCAACAGCCGCGGGCGCGCCGGAACTGCCGCCGAGCGCGCCGCACCTGGCGGCGGAGGACAGCGCACCTGCGAGGTCCGAGCGCACCGCTCAGCGGCGCCGACCGCCGCGTGACGGGCCGCGTGACCGGCGCACGCCGAGACGGCGCGTGACCCGGCCGTTTCCGCACGCGGCTGGCGTGGGGGTGATCCGTGACGAGAGCGACATGGGGCCGGGCCGCGTCTGTCGGGTCAGATACTCACGGAGCTTAGGT